TCAGCGTCCCGATCCGATACGTGGATCGGATCGGGACAAGCCTAATAAGAATTTTCAGATTTTTCAGGACTGTATAAGACCTCCAGTGACATAATAAATGGAAATATAGACTCGCATAATTGAAGAAGTGCAGAGTCAGTATGATACAAACCATGTCTGATAAAAAGGTTTAAAACAGATTACATTGAGGAGGGGGGGGGCATATTAAGATTTATGGTCAACTTGAATCGATGCCCTGATGTACCAGAGGATGCTATGACTCCGTCTGAAAGGCCGAGAGGTGATGGAGGAATATGGGCACCAAAAATGTCAGAGGAAATGTCAAGCTGCTGGGCTGGGGCGGGGGGAGGTTGGCCAATTGTATTCAGTTGGATACATGTGAACTGATCCACCTTACACTGAGGCATCCAGAGGAATCAGAAAAGCAAAACATCTCCTTATCTGGCTGCAAATCACAGCTTGAAACTTTAAGGCTTGCCTGAAATATTTCAAATAAAATATATTTTTGTTAATAAAAAAATATTAGAATGATATTTTGAGAGAAAGATGCTGAATTATTTACTGCAACGTCACAAAAAGGCAACAGAACAGCTATCAAATATGTCTCTGTGTCACAAAGCTGGTTTGGACTCTTGTTCTGCTACAGTCTTCACCTCAGAGATGGAATAAAGCCCAACTGGAAATGCAGGGTTAGGAGATGGGGGTGCTTTACCTCGTTGAACTCGGGATTGAGAGTCTTCTTTTTCACAGCGGTCTTGTGCTTTGACTTTTTGTTCTCATCAGGCTTCAGGTACCTGCAGCAGAGAGGCAGAGGACAGGAAGGTTTAATCCTACCACATCTCGCTGTTTCTGTTTCTGCAGCCTGACTTACAATCAAACCAACAGTATGAAGCCTTGCAAACACTTTTAATGGGTGTTTGTCGATCTGTCCTGCAGGGGGTGCTGTGGTAACACCATGCATTTCAGGCACAGACACACTGTGGTACATTATTCACAATAAAGCATTTAATTACCTGACTTTAAGGGCCTCTGGTTGGTGTTAAACACCATTTATCTCAGTCAAGATGGTCATTTTACTTTACAAACGGTTGTTTTAGACATAAATGTTTATCATTATGTGTTTCTAAAGGATTGCAAAGGAAAGTGTGCATCATCTTATGGCTCTAATTGATTTCAAACCTCCTCAATAGCCAAAAAAATTATATATTAAAAACGTATTAATCTTTTCTTGAATCTTAAGTTCTTGCTAAACTTTTCTGGTCCTTTTTGAATAATTATTTGGTGCCTCCTGGGTTAAACTGATAAAACGTTTATGTTCACATTTATCTTATTGCATTTGAATGTTTACATAAATTTATCACATGCTTCAATGTTTTATTAATGTAAGGCTTTGATTTTAAGTGGAAATATTCTTCAACGTGCAACAGAAGTAGAATTTAAAAATCTAACCTATACATACATCCAGTGGCGGTTCTAGACCAAATGTACCAGGGGGGCCAGGAGGGGGCCAGCGTGTTTTCATGAGGGCACAGAAAAGCATTAAATAAAAAAAAAACAGGCCAAGGGATTCAAATAAATTAAGATGCATGAAGTCAAATTTCTATTCAATTAGGTTTCATTAAAATTCTAAATGTCTTAATAGGTCAATATACATTCAGAATTTAGGAATTAACTTAATAATAACTTAATTTAAGTTGAAATTACAGTTTTCTATAAAAATCTGAATTAGAATTTAAGAA